TTACCATCACTAGGCAATTAGTGACAATGTGGCACTTCTGTGAATGGCACCTTAACTCAAGGGCTGAACACATTGGCCCATCAAGAAATTTCTGCTGACCGAAGGAAAGCAACAGCTACCATGTCTTTAATTCTTTTTCCAGGTCTCTGGGCTCCAGCCTGACAGATACCAGGCAGAGTTGTTTGTTAAGTGAAGGAACATCGACTTTAGATCATGTTAAGAATTTTTTTCACCCAGTTATTTTTAGATATCAAGACTGAAGTGAAGTGAAAGCCAAGTAGCACCAACATCTAAGCCTGGATAAGTTTTGGTCTAAAAACGAAGTCTGAGGAAATCTTAAGCTTGACACAGTAGGACATTGATCTGTTCTGAGGAGGCCACCAAGTTAATTAGAGGGATGGAGCACCTCTCCTAAGAGGACTGGCTGAGACAATTTGAACTGTTCAAACTGGAAGAGAGAAGGGTTTTGGTAATCTAATTGTGGCCCTCAAATACCTGAAAGGAGCCTGTGAGAAAGATGGAGAGAGATTATTTATAAGAGTCTGGAGTGTGGACAGGAGGAAGTGGATTAAAACTGAAATAGAGTAGGTTTAGTAGGAAGAAATTCTTCCCTGTGAGGGTGGGGAGGCCCTGGCACAGGTTTCCCAGAGAAGTTGTGGTTTCCCAAAAAAGCCCTATCCCTGGGATTGTCCAAGGCCAGTCTGGATGTGGCTTGGAGCAACCTGGGATAGTGGAAGATGGTCCTGCCTATGGCAGGGTGTTGAAGTGGTGAATCTTTCAGGTCTCTTCCAACCCAAATTCTCCTATGATTCCATGGTTCTTTCAGCCAGTGAGATTTGCTGTGCACAGATAGATTTGTGTACATTCATTCTGGACAAAGAGCTAGAGAACTGGTAAACTCCTTCCTGTGTTGTTGCTCTTGCAATATTAAAATAGGTGGCCACTGTGTGAGCTTGGGACCTTTTCCCATTTTAGGAGTTGGGAAGGTTACAGACACATTAAGCTTGATTCCCGAACTGCTCAAAAGATGCTTTTAAAAGCGTAAAATCTTTTCAGAACAATTGTGGGTCTTTCCTTGTGGCTTTGTGAAATGCAATGGAGCTGTAAACAGTGATACACAAAGCTTGGTTCCAGAACTGCTCAAAAGAGCCAGAAATGTGATGCTTTTAAAAGCGTAAAATCTTTTCAGAACAATTGTGGGTCTTTCCTTGTGGCTTTGTGAAATTCAATGGAGCTGTAAACAGTGATAGAAGTGGTGGAAGTTGAATTAGAGCAGTTTAGATAAGGGCTGTAGGTTTTGAGTGTTATGCTGGCATAACTTTCAAGGTTCCATACACAGGTAGCATGGAAAAACAGCTTTTCCAAATCACTGATAATTTCCTTTTGCCATGGGCAAAAAAAAAAGAGCACTAACTCCTATTAGGTCAACTTTCTTCTCACTTACAAGGCAAACAGAAGCCTACAAATTGGACAAATATGCACTTGCTTTCATCAGGTTCCAATACAAATATTGGCAGCTGTGTTGTTGACACTTCTTCAGAGCAAGTGAGGATTTAAGGATTCTCTTCTCTCTAACAGCAGACACAAAACTGATTCTGTGGAAGTTTGCATACATACCCCAGTACCACCAATCAAAGTAGAAGCTTGCAAATGTAAAATACTGGCTCATTGTGAAATACTGGGAATGTTTCAGACTTTTGGGGAATTTACAGCTCAGCTGAGTGTCCATCTACAAGTATGGAAAGGAGTGATTGTTGCTGTTACAATTGCCTCCAACAGAATTTACTTCTCACAGTGCCAAGCCTTGAATCCTTGGATGCTTTGGCTTTAGAATCCTTCTGCTGCCATGACAAAAAAAATTATTGGAGATGAACCTCTGCTGGCCCTCTGCTCTGGAGATCTTTCCATTTGTACATCAGATCCCCAAAGGTGTCCTCAATGCATGCCAGAATGTCCTGGAGTATTTATGCCCTGCTGTGTTGTCCTTCCTGGTGTGGTTGAAATCCCTGTGAGGACCAGAGCCTGCAAAGGTGAGGCTGTTCCTCACTGTCTGTAGAGAGTGTCATCCACTTTGCCTGTCCTCCTTTTAATCCTGACCCACAAACTTTCCATCAGATTCTCATCCATCCCCAGGCAGCATCCCAAGCACTCCAGCTGCTCTCTCTATGAAGGGCAGCTCTTCCTTCTCATTTTCCTATCCTGCCCTTTCTAAAAGAGCCTGCATCCCTCCAAGGCAGCACTTCATCAAGGGGCCAACCCACCACATCCCCATGATCCCAACAAAACTGCAGCCCTGCAACTTCACACAGATCTCTTAACAACTCAGGTTTGTTCCTGATAATTTGTGCATTCAGCACCTCAGAGTGCCCAGTTCCTGCAGAGGATTTGGGATATTTGACCATGATGGTGGTGCCTGGTAGGCACTTCCCTGCCCACACCTCATTTTGGTGGCTTTGGGAACCTTTCCTGCCACAGCACCCCTTTTTCCAGCAATCCTGTCCTCTGCTCCCACAGGACTGCTGGCCACACTTTCCCTCTCCCACCATTATTAAAATTCTCCTTATGTGCTGGATCCCATCTCTCCAAAGCAGCTGCAAATCCCCACACAGGGTCCCATTGAACCACAAACCATGTCAGCAACACCAATTCTACAGCCAATTATGATTTTCTGCTATTAGTGTCCTCCTCCTTGCCCTCTTTCCCCTCACCAGCAGCCCATGTGATGAAGCTGCACTTGGATGTTTTTGCCAAGAGCTCCTGCAGGATTCTGTTGGGAAGACTCTGATGATTCCCACCTAACCCAGGCCATTGGCTTCTTTTGGTTTCAAAGGCTTGGGCTCACTGATATGGTGATTTATAATTGAATATTTGTATCAAAGAGATGTTATGACCAGGAACTTGGGCACAGAGTTTGTTTGCAGAAGACGCAAAATAACAGAGATATCCTCTCCCAAGTCCGCATTCTATTTCTTCCCTGCATAACAGAAATTGCTCTCTCCCCTAGGGAGTGTTATCAGAGTGTTCATTAAGGAAGTGGCCCACATGCCAGAAAAACTCCTTCTAGATTTTTGTGAGAAGCAAGGGTTGCTCTGCCTGTGCCATGCACAAATCACACAAACTCTCCCCACAATTCTCCCCAGCTCGGGTGATCCAAAGAGGGGTTTTCTCTGGGAGCATTTTGATGAGGGGCTCATCTCATATTCCCTGGGTTTATATTTTCCCTGAGTTTCCTAGACAAGCACACACAGAGCTTTCATTCCATGCATGTCAGAGGAATTGACTAAAAAAAATATAAAGCAAGTGCCAAGAGAGCTGTCTCTTGTCATCATGGAATTTTCACTGTGGGGGTTTCAACATCTCTTGCCTCCTGATTCTTTATCGCCCTTACTTTTGTGTAATATGAATGTCACAAGATAAACAGTGGGACCCTTCAGCAATTGGTTGGGAAGATATCTCGATTGCCTGTCAGGATTAAAAGATAGTCCTTAAAAAAACCTGTTAAAAATCTGCTGGAGCGTAAGAGGAACAACAATAAAAAAAACACAAAAACCTTATTCTGGCTCAAAGACAAAATGTCCTACTTAGTCTAACAGCTTCTCCCAGGGAAGTTAATACTGGGATGGCTTCTATGCATGGGTAAAGTCCTAAAGTAATAAATATTGCCTTAAGAAAAGGAGTTGTGAGGATCTTGAAGCTAGCTGATGTATGTTGTCATGTCCCTCAAGGCATTAGCATCTGATGTGCTTTTAGAGATGAATCAGGCTCCAAAGTTATCCATGCAAAAAAAATAAGCTTTCAAAACAGCATCAAGAGGGGAAAAAATAAAAGAAGAAGAAAAAAACTCTAAAAAACCTGATTTTAAATATAATTTTGATTTTTTTTTTGCTGTCCCTGTGAACCTGAGCGGTGTCTCTCAGAGAGGTGTAGATCACTCCTTTCAGTGTGAAAGGAAGTATCTTATGGTAATGGAAAGTTGCAGAGATATGAACTTGCCAAAGAAATCCAGAGTGATTAATAAGCAGCAAAGAGTTTCTGCTGTTGAAATCTGCATATGGCTGTCTCAGGACTTGTTCCTGCTCTCAGGAGCACCAGGGAGAGTTCCAGCTGAGCCTTTAGGTGAGAAATATCCCCACAAATTCTGCTGCTCTTGTGTTTAGATCCCTCAACCAGGGATTAGCTCCCAATTTTGAAAGTGGGCAGTTGTTCCAGAAGTACCACATATTATTATTGTGTGTACAAAAACAAGAGATAGAGAAAAAAAGTCTGATTTTTCTTCACATCATTTCTGAGCACATTTCATGCTCAGAAAAGAGCAGTGACAAAGGTCAGAGAGAGCTGATCTAAAGTGTCTTCTCCCTCTGTTCACAAGAACTGGTGGCTCCCAGTGATGGGCTGCTCCTAAAGACAGGACTAGGAGTGACTCTCACCTCTTTCCCAGTTTTCTCCACCCAGTTTTTTCCTAGTCATTGGTAGTTACAGAACAAGAGCAGATCAACTAATGGGCAGAAACTTCAGACTTTACATGAGCACATCTTGATGTCAGGCTTCTGTAAATTTAATTAGACACACCCTGCTATGTGGAATGAAAATTCTATTTGGAAACAAAAAGCTCCTTAATTTTCACTAATTTCATCAATAATCATCATAATAATTGCCACTACTATTGTTTTTTAATTACAGTTCCAGGTAGAAAGGAAGAATTGGATCCCTTCCCAGTTAATGTTATATATTCTCCAGCTTCCTTTTTTGCAGTCAAAGGGGAATGGATTTGTCTCCCTGTGAATTCTATTTTATGCTAAATATACCAGCAAACTGTCCATAACATAAGAACCTTATTGCACAGGGCAGCTTGTCAGATCCAGACCTCTCTGGGTATACAAAATGCTCAAAACACAGGGAAAATAATCACAGCATCAACAAAGGGCTGCTCGTGAGGGACAAAATCACGTTGGAATGGTGGAAGGGGGTAATGGAGCTCATAATTTTCATGTGACACCTACCTATTGTGTCTCCTTGCTCGTGCACCATGGAGGCCAGGTCTTTGATGATCTGGTTCACATCCAGCATGTCGCTCTGGAAAGACAGAAATCCTAACATTACCCAGGAGTGGGGAATATCCAAGTACAAAAGGCACATTCCACAGTCCAGCTTGGCAAAGAAAAACACAAAGCAAGAAATCTTCAGTGGTGTAGATGCAAAAGGGAAAGTTTTGATGCTCCCATAGTAAAAAATTCCCTCAGAGCCATGCTTTGCTGGATCCAAGTCAGGCAGCTGACTCAAGCTTTGTGAGAGGAGCAAGTGGAATGATCAGATTTTATGCTTGCTTTTCAGAATTGTGGAGCACTAAGGAAAAACAACAATAAAAACAACAGTGGCAAACACTTTTCTTTCTAAAAAAGTTATTGGTGATGCAGGCCATTCCTCCCAGACTGTTTTCTCCTGCACAGAAAAAGGCCATCTCTCAGCACAGCATCTATCTGATGCTATTCATAAACTGATGGATACAATCAAAAACTCCCTGAATTTGAAATTGCCTTATTGGTAGGGTAATAAGGAAAGAGCTATTTGATGAACAGATTCATTTATATGTTTTCAAGTAGTTTAAAAAAAATAAAAAACCGTAACTGCATTCAGCTCTGAAATTTTCTCTGTGAAAACACAGCAAATTACCCATGAGTTTGTTTCCTTCATTTCTGAACACTTACCATATAAAATAGCAAATGTGAGCATATGTTGACATCATATGACACTGGGTCTTGTAAAAAGAATTAGTTTAGCAATGATAGACATAATAATATAGACACTGCTAAATGCACTACCAGCAAGGCAGCATTGCCAGAGCAGAAAAAAAGACACTAAAAAAAGATGTATATATTTTTTTTCAGCCCTACAAGTCAGAGAATCACAGAAACATTGAAATGGGCAGGAATCTTTGGAAATTATTTAGTCCAACAGCCCTTCTCAGAGCAGACAACTAAAGTAGGGTGCTCAGGGCATGGTTTTTTGTGCCTCCAAGGATGGAGATTCCACAGACTTCCTGGCAAAATGTAAGTCCATGGAATCCTGTGTGTTGTTTCAGCATGGCTGGATGACAGACACCTACCAAATCTGCTCTATCACTCCCCTCTGTAAGTAAACAGAAACTGAAAATATAATGAAGGGCTCATAAATTAAGGACCAGGAGACCTCACCCTCCAAATATCATCATGGGCAAACCAGACAGATATTAATTGAATTTATTACTAACAAAATCAGAACAGGATAATGAGAAGTTTCAGAATTGTGTGGACACAATCCTGTGCCTGTGCTTGAGCAGGGAGATGGGACCAGATGGCCCCACTGTGGTCCCTTCCAGCCTGGCCCACCCTGGGATTCCATGTTCATCCCAAAAGATCCAATTGCCTCCACCATGCTTTTTAAAGAACTCCATTTCCCCACTAACAAATTTAGAAAATGGTGCAAAATGAATCCTCGTACTGAAGTTTGCTATGAGAATATAACTGGCATAGCACTTCAACACGGAATGCAATAGAATTGCATCAATTTAAAATGAGGTCTGGGAGTCCCACTGTGAGTGCTAGAATAGACCAAATTGTTGAATAACTGAAGATGGAGGAAAAGCAAAAGATTGAAAAAGCTGTGAGAAATCATAATAAAGCAAAAAAAAACAAAAAAACCCCACTCCCCCAACCAAAGACTGGGTAATGCACCACAAAATGTACTTCATTCCTTCATTTGTCAAGCATAATGAAGCTTTAATTATGGATGGTATTATTCCTAACTTGTAAATACTGCAGGAAATTTTGCAAAACAATGAAGTTTAAGCAATTTGAGATTGTACTTGAGCAGCGTGTTAGTAAATCATTACTGGGAAATGAGGAGAAATTAGTGGTGATTGTTTTTTGTGTAGGGAAGTTTTCTGAGCTTTTTGTAAAAATATTTTAAGGGAGAAAGTTAAAGTTTAGCAAAATGTGAAGAACTGAGAATTAACTTTAATGTCTTGCTCTGCTCTTAACTGCTTTGCAAAAGATGATTAAGGAAAATAACATTTAAAAATATAATAATACTAAAAAAACCCAGAATGCTAATTTTTCACTCTTGGCTAAATTGTCACTGACATAATTTTTTGTGTCTGTTCCTTGCAATATAAACACAATCCTTTCTACACTTCAATCTGCTTTATTTTGTTGTGCTTCTTTTCAGCACTTTAAGTGAAGGTGGCTTAAAACTGATGAATATGTTTTTGCATGTTCATTTGGTTAGAAGAGTTTATTGCAATATATTGAATTACACGTGCCCCCACCCACCCCAAGCATTATCACTGGAATAAAACAGATGATACATTGACTTCTTAGAGGACCCTTCCCAGCTAATTGAGCCATGAGGAGTTGGGCTGTGTGTGTCCTGATCCCCAGATATTGGGTGAGGCAGGGAAGAATGAGGAAGAAAATTCAACATTGTGTGCGAACAGTGCTGGTTCAGCTTTGCCGTTTGTATTCAGGTACTTGAAACCAACCATCTGCAGCTGCAGAGTATAGATACTTTCCATAATGTTGCAATAACACTTAAAATTACTGTTTAGCAAATATGCGTCAGTGAGAGCCAGCGCTGAGTTGTGAGGAAGGGAAAAACTGCGACTACTGCACTTGAGGAAAAACTAACAGGGGTGAGTTATAAAGCACAGAGCACAAAAACAATCTGACCTAAAGCAAGAAATCTGTTGAATAATTTAACCTGGCAATGTGAAGTTTCAAAGTCCTTGATATAAGTAAGGAAAACAAAGGAAGAAATAGAAGAAAGAAAAAATAGCCAGAAATAAAGACCTTCCATAATGGAATATACCTTGGAGCTACTCTCCATCTTGCCAGGTCTGCTCCATCCCCAAGTACCTCTGAACTTGCCAGGCATCAGAGTTTGTTAGGAAAATCAGATTGCCTTTGGTTCCCCATGTTTGCACACACTTTGCAGAATTCACAATGAAATACAGCTCCTCATAAATCTCTGACTCCACAGAATCCAGGAGTGCAGCAGCCACCACCATTCCCAAAATTCTGTCTCCCTGCCAGCTAACTAGGCTGGGGCTCCCTGGGTTTTAATTAACACCAGTCTTTCCTGTCTGGCAACAATTCACTCACTATATTCTGCAGCAAGAGGGAGACAGATTTAAACTGTTCCAAATAAACCCTCTTTTCTTTTTTTTTTTCTTTTTTTTTTTTTTTTTTTTTTTTTTTTTTCCCTCCCCAAAAAGAAGAAATCCATTGTTCAGATTAGTAGACAGGATTTAATATCACCCATTCTGGAACAAAAAGAATTAAACTAGTCAACAACAAAATGAAATGGAAGTAGCTAAAGATGGCCAGAAAAGCAGAGAATTGATAGAGGAGAAAAGCAGAGATGCAAAAGAATGAGGCCCTTAAGTGCCAGATGATTAACTCTCACTAGGGGAAATTAGTTTGGGAAGTTCTTAACAGAAAATACTAGGTTAAAATATTTTGATTTAAAGATTTCTTTTGAAATTAATTTGTGAGCAAGTCAGGTTATAAAACCCAGACATTGTCACCAATGTGGGAATGATAAATCCCAGCAGCCCATTTCCCCACAGAATGAGCATTACTGAAGTATTTCTAAGACAGAAAATAAGCAAACCTCTTCTCTCTTCCACTCTCATGCTTTGTGGGGTGAAGATTTATTCACACTGAAAACTTCCAACATTACCCTGCCTTTAATGATATCCTAAGGACACTGCTGTGTTCCAGACATGGGAATGGTGTTAAATAAACCAGAGAGGGGAACATGTTCTCCTCAGAAGGACACAGAACAAATCTGTGTAGTCAATAACTCTTCTCTCACATGCAGACAGATCCCAGCCTCCCCTATCAGTGTCAGCTCAGGTCCTCAAGGGAAGGAGCATTCATTTCTAGGAATGTTTGCCTTAGGTTTGTATAAAAATGGGATCAAAAGTATCAGTGCTCTATCCTATTTAGCACGTGTGTTTACTCACAAACCAGCCATCCATTTTTTAAAGGACTATAAATTAGCATTTAAATTAATTGCTACCTCAATATTCAGGAGCTGCTGAATTTTTACAAGCGAGGTCACATTCTGACCCATCATTTATTCTGCAGCAAGCAGCCAGGAGAGCTATAAAATAAACCCCAAGGAGATCCTGAAAGATGTCCTAGAAGGCTCATGCGTGCATTTCTGCACATAGAAGCACTCCAAAACACAATAAAGCAAAACAAACCCCTTGTGCTTGTTACCTTTGGGGAAAAAAATAAAGAAACAAGGGAAAAAAAAATCAACTAACAGCCCTTTGTAGTTTCTATCATGTTTTTCCAAAGAGATGCTGAGATGTTCCTTGTGTGTTGTCCCATCTGCAACAGCTGTGGGACATCTCCTACCCTGTGGTCCACCATGTATGGACATGGAAAAACAAATCAGAGCATGGTGTTTGTCTGTCTTCATTCCTTTCTGAGAGGCAGGGGAAGGAAAGGAAAAGGAAAAAAATAATATAAAACATGAGCAAGCTTCTGATGCAACATAGGCAGAAACTAAATCTTGCTTCAGCAGCCTTTCAACAAATATTTTTCTCTTGTCTATGGCTGGGGAGAAAAAAATGACATTCAATAAATCAACCTGATTCAGCCTAAGCAACAACAGACCAGCAGAAAATTGTTTTGAGGGCAGAAGCCATCCAGAACAGCAATTACAGACTGAGTTAGGTCTCCTCTGAGACTCAACAACAGCCAGAGTGTGGAGTTTCTCTCTCCCTCTCTTGCCTGTGCACGTTCCCTCTCTCTTTTGCTGTCTTAGAGGTTTGTGTCATCTCAGGGAGTGTAAAACCATGCTGCATAATTAAAGTAGTCACGCTGAGCTTGGGGATGCCAGTCCAGCACCTGCCTGGGGACAGCAGCCCAGGAAACACAGCAGGAAGGGGGTTCCTGCCCAAAAACCCAAACGGAGAGGCTGTGGGAGGTGAGATGCCTCGAGCTCATCAGAGAGAGCTGAGGCCACCACCGAGGGCACCTCAACAGGGATGAGCACAGAGATCCTGCCAGCTGCCAGCTGGTGTT